CAGGTGGAGGTTAAAAAGTTTATAACTTTCATTGATCTTGGCTAACTTAGCTCTGTAACTAGCCCCCTGGAAACCAAAATTATCATTACGAATTACGCATTTATCGGAAATTAATCCAGCAATTTCCCTCCTTGTTGATAAATTATTGTGCTTAGTTTTCTAATTTGGTAAAAAAAAGATAGTTTCAGTGGTCTTCATGTTTCAGTAACATTTTAAACCTATGGTTTTGTCCATATTGTGAAAAATTGTGTATCATATACTGTGTTATAGAACTTTGTCTTTAAAGTTAATAAAGAATGCTTTTAACTCTTAAATAAGAAAAGTTGGTCAATGGCAGTACTTTTGGAAATTATCTGTACTACTCACAATATTTGCCCCAGGTTAGATTTTGTTAGTGAAAATACAGCTTCTTCGGTCTTGATCCAAATATAACTATTAGAAGAAAATATGTAAATCAGGAAAAAATAGTTAGAGCTGGAAATGTTTAAATTTGCAAAAATTTTTTTTGGCCGTATAATTTAAGCTGTCCATTTTGAGGCTTTAAATTTTTGTTGTAATACTAGGTACCTAACTTAAGTGGATCGACTTTCTTGATTTTAAAGCAGCAGTAGCATGTTGTTATTCAAAGAGTAGTCTTATATATTAAAGTTTTACAAAAAAGGAGTTATATATACTTCCTAATTGAGATGTAAATGTTTAATAAGCTTGAGTCAATCGGGGCTTGTTTTACCTGTGTAAAAACTCTTTAACTGTCATAGACAGACATTGGGAAATTGAGTGATTTACTCAATTACTGAGTTAGAAGTGATTATAATATAAGCTTTTGAGATTCAAGAAGTATGCCTCATGAAGCAGGAAGGCTGACTAGTGTTCTTCATAGTATTTTTTTAATTTAGGAGATTTCATATGAACTTCCCATTATCTTAGCTTGTTTTAGACTCTTGATGTTAAAAATTTATATTGATTTTCAGATGTTCAAATCTTATTTTGAAGTTCTGAAGCTGGAAATCTATTTTATTCAGTAGTATTTTTACTCCTTTCTGAAGAACTATGTATAACTTCTGGAATGAAAACTGATTTCTTTAAAAATCTGTTTCATCTACAAGGTGTAAAGGCCTGTTTAAAAACTGCTCCAGCTGCAGTTTTTTGTAATTGCCAGTAGATGGCAATTTAAGTTCATGAAAAAATATTTAAGCACTGAATTTCTAAGCCTGGAAAAAATTGTTTGAGTTGCAGATATTCTAAGTGAGATTGGCAGTGGTAGTATTGGTCGTGGTGAGTTAAAAAAGTCTATTACTTTTAATTTTTCTTTATAAGAAAAATCTTTCTACAACATTTTAGATCAGTGGTTCTGAAGCCTGGTGATGCAGTTGGTTGAGTTCGGCTGCTAGCCAAAAGATCGGCAGTTCAAATCCACCAAATGCTCCTTGGAAACTCTATGGGGCAGTTCTACTCTGTCTTGTAGGGTCACTATGAGTCAGAATTGACTGGACGGCAATGGGATTGGAGTGTGCGTCAGCGTGACCTAGAGGGCTTGTTAAAAACAGATTGCTTGGCTCCAGAGTTTCTGATTCTGCAAGTCTGGGTTAGAGCCCAAGAAATTGTATCTCTAACAGGTTCCTAGGTGATACTAATTGTCTGGAGATCACATTTTCAGAACTACTATTATTAAACAATCTTTCCTTTAAGAGTTAAATTATTAAAATAATACGGCGTTATTGTTGTATTGCTAATTCTAAAAAGAATGTACCCATTTTCTTCTACCCTAATCCATTTAGCCATATTTTTGTCCTCTTTGTGTATATACATACATGTTTTAGTGTAGTCATATTGTGTCTTTTTTTTTCTATGTTGTTTACACATTTTTCCCCACTGTTAATGTGTAGTCCCACCATTTTCTCCATTGCCTTTATAGTATAACTGTAGGTGCAATATCTTTTCAGAAATGTAGGCCTGAGAAGTGTTTTAATTTGGTGTCTTTTTTTGGTTTGTTTCCTTGACGAGTATCAGTGTGATAGTTGTCAGTGGCTTCATGGACACTATCCCCTGTGACTTTGTGGGTAGGTTCTAATTAGGATTCAAAATAAAGCTAAATCTTACCACCGTGTACTAAGTGGAATGAATGGGGAGTTTTCTTTCATAATGTATACCAAAATCTCTTTAGGACTTTATTACACGTGGTCTGCTCTTCAGAAGCAGTGGAACTGTAATAAATTTTGATTCATTTGTAAAGAAGCCTAGGGAAATAAATATGATTGTTATTTTGAAAATAACAATGTCTGAAGTTCCAAATTTTATAAAATAGTGAACAATGTTTCAAAGCTAATTTTGATAGTTCGTAGCTGAGTGAATTTGGGTAGTTGAGTTCTATTTAGATTTTTTTGTTCGTTTTTAATTGTGGTAAGTGTATCTGTAACTAAGCACTGTTTAGATTCTTGAGGTTAAAAATTTATATTGATTTTAATATGTTTTAATTTGAATAAATGCAAATGAACTCTAGTAATATTCTTTTTAAAACATTTCATTTATACTGTTAGGAAAAGAGACCTAAAAAGTCAACTCTTGATTATCAGTAGAAATCAGGCATAATGGATTATATTAACACATGGAAAACCTATAACTGTATTAAGTACAGTACATATTTCAACTTTCTGCCTTTTACCAGGGCTGTTAACAGCAATAAGCAGATATATAACAGTAATAAGCAAAAATAATCATTTTAAATTTTACTTATACTTTTATTTCATTTTCACTTTTTTTGTAGAAGCGCAACATAGTGATTCATGAATTGAGTAAGCCCTTTTTGTTAATTTTGTTTGCTTTTATATTGTTGCAGCAAATGCCTAAAAGCATTCAAAAGGGAGATAATAATTTATTTAATGATATAATTAGTTTATAGCATTTGATATCAAATTAGAGATCATAATACAGAAAGAGCCCTGAAACAGATAGTTTTAGGACTTCTGAGGAGAGGCTGATTGGCTTTTCCTATCATATACCTCCTGCCCTGGAAAAAAAAATCTCCATTAAGTTTCAAGAACTTAAGATTGTTTGGGAATTTACTTTGGGAATGTGTGTTTGTAAGTATGTTCTTTAATACCTCATAAAGGTGTAATAAAACCTTGTCCTTCCTAAGCCTTCTCTTACTTTTTTTCCTCTCTTACATACTTTTTTTCCTCCCCCAACTCCCACTTCAATTTTGGTGTTCCCTTTTAAATGCTTACCACCCCCCCCACCCCCAATTTTGATGTACTTAGTGCATTTTCTAGGAGTCCCTGGGTGGCGGAAATGGTTAAGCCCTCAAGACTACTAGCTGAAATGTTGGTGGTTCAAACCTACCCAGAGGCACCTTGGAGTTAGGCCTGGGGATCTGCTTTTGAAAATCCTTTGGAGCATTTCTGCTCTGCACACACGGGGTCGTCATGAGTCAGAATTGATTTGATGGCAGCTAACAACAAAGTGTATTTTCCATGGTCTGACTGATCAATTGCACACCAGTTGGTGTTTTGTACACTAAAACTGATTTGAGCAAGAATTGCCCTTTAGTAATAATTGTGCCATTTTTCCATCCGCTGACTGGTATAGCTGAGTAGTTAAAAGCTGAACTCTGGAGACATGTTGCTTGGTTTTAAATTTTGGCTCCCCATTGTGTACTTTTCAGCTTACGTTTATTTTCCCTTTGCTTGAAAAATGGAGTTAATAATAATGCACACCTCATACGATGTTTGAAATAAGTTAACACAAGTGTTTAGAATAATAAAGTGCCATGTGTGGTTGATTATTATGTAATTATTACTGTAATGGAGCACTAGTGGCACAGTGGTTAAGCGTTCAGCTGTTAACCAAAAAGTCGGCAGTTTGAATCCACCAGCTGCTCCTCGGAAACACGATGGGGCAGTTCTGCTCTGTCTTAATAGGGTCGGTATGAGTCGGAATCAACTCGACGGCAGTGGGTTTTGTGTGTGCGTGTGTGTTATTACTGTAGTATACATAAAGCACTTGCAACAGTTATTGGCATATTATTGTTGTTCACCCATCTGGTTTATTCCTCTTGCCTGTTGGCATTAGCAGCATTGCGTTTTTTTAAACTTAGAAAGCTTTCATAATCATCACTGTTCACTGGTACCTATGTATTTGTCAGGTACTTTTATTAAATTTTTAATGGCTGTCTTCACTTTTGACCTTTATCATTTCAATAAATAAAAATTTTTAGAAGTTCACAAATAAGATAGTTATATTTTCCAACTTAGGCATTTAAAACTAACCATATACAAGTAATAAGCCACTTTTTTTTTTCTCCTATCATTTCTAATTCTTGTCACTTTTCTTTTCCTTTGGTACTTCCAAGGGCATACTGCATTTATAGTGGAGTTTATAATATTTCAGTCCTACTTGACTGCAGCACTGAAGTGCAAATCTGTTCATGAAATGATCACTAAAAACAAAGGTAGTTTAAAGATCTAGTTAGGAGTTTACCTCATGTTATCTTTTATCCGCTTACTGTGTAATTTGGGTAATTTGTTTGTAATGAGTGACTTTTTAGGAAATTTGAATATATATGTGTTTATCTGTCTACCTTGAAAAAAATCTGTTATATTTTTGTGATGGCTTACAACTTCAAAATACAACAGCAGGAAGCAAAAGACAAAGTATTTATTTTGATATGTTTACTGCATTAAAAAAAAAAAAGTTTTGTAGTACCTAGTGATAATTTGTCCTTTAAAACCTCAAATTATTTATTGAAATGAAAAAATTAATAAGGTTCTGTTTTACTATTAATAAAGATGGTAGTATATTTCTATGTTTTATCTCACTTCCCCCCATACAGGGAAATGTTCATGTTGGGGGAAAAAAAGAGCAGAGGCCTTAGTAGTTGAGTTAATTTATAGTTCTGAAGTAAGCTATATACTGTTTCGCAAATCTAAATGTTTTACCTACAATAAGTATTAATACCTTCAGTAAAACATTTTAAACTTATAAACTATGTTTTTTTAAAACAGGTTTCAATAATTGAAGAACTTGTTACTAATTATGAAGCCTCTCTTAAAACATGTGACTTTTTTAGCCCTTATGGTAAGTTTAAATTAGATTAAGTTGGAATTTGATTTCTGATATAAATCTATTTTTAATTGCTTACATTAATATTATTTTATGTTTATTATTTATATGGTACATGATAGCTATTTACTAAACAGCTTTTGAATTAGTGAAATGAGAGTACTTTGAGTCTTATTTAATTTAAATTTTCCATAACTTGTGGGGTGGGAGTTAACCCTGTTTTAACATGAGAAAACAGAGGTTGAGGTTTTGGCCCAAGATGACATATTTTTTTAAAAAATAGATTTATTTATTTTGTTGTTGTTGAGAATATACACAGCAAAACATAACAGCAATTCAACAGCTTCTGCACGTGCCATTTAGTGACATTGATTACATTCTGTGAGTTGTGTAACCATTCTTACCCTCCTTTTCTGCGTTGGTCCTCCCCCATGAACATAAACTCACTGCTTCCTAAGGTTCCTATCTAATCTTTCAAGTTGCTGTTGTCAGTTTGATCCTATATAGTCAGTTTTTACATAAAGTATAATGCTCAAGGCAGACTTTTTTATTAGTTAAGCTAAACTATTGTTCGGTTTTACGAAGACTTCAGGGGATATTTTTGGTTTACGGTTTAAAGATTATCTCAGGGCACTAGTTTCAGGGGTTCATCCAGCCTTCATGGGGTTCATCCAGCCTTCATGGCTCCAGAAAATCTGGAGTCCATGAGATTTTGAAATTCTATTCTGCATTTTCCCCCTTTTGATCAGATTTCTTCTATGGAATCTTTGATCAAAATGTTCAGTAATGGTAGCCAGGCACCATCCAGTTGTTCTGGTCTTTATGGCAAAGGAGGCAGTTGTTCATGGAGGCAATTAGCCACACATTCCATATCTTCCTTCTATTCCTCACTACCTCTGTTGTTCCAAGAGAATGGAGACCAATTATTGTGCCTTGGATGGCGATTTACAAGCTTTTAAGACCCCTGGGACTACTCATCAAAGTAGGAGGTAGAAGAGAGGTACTAAAAATGTTATTCGGCCGATTCACTGGAATGTCCCATGAAGCCATGACCCTAAACCTCCAAACCAAGAAACCAAATCCCATGAGACTTTTGGTTGTAGGTAAGCAGCCTCAGCAGCTGTTCTTTTTTTTTGTTGTTGTTGTTGTAAATATATCTATCACACTAGTTTTGCCAATTCAACTTTTTACAGGTGTACAGCTTACTGACAGCAGTTATAATAATTGGCTATGCCCGTCTGCCCTTAATGCGATATTTCAACACCACTAACCTCCCCTTTGTCCCTCCCTCCCGCCCCTTGCTAATAAACTTTGTTCTTTATACAGTTGCCTTTTTTGTCTTTTGTAAAAGTGAGGTCATGTGATATTTATCCTTTTGTGATTGGCTTATTTTGCTCAGCATATCTTCCAGTTTCATCCATATTGTAACTTGTATCAAGACTTCATTTCTCCTACTGGCTAAGTAGTAGTCCATTGCATGTTTGTACTGCATTTTATTTATCCATTCATCTGCTGATGGGCATTTAGGTTGTTTCCACCTTTTGGCTATTGTGAATAGTGCTGCAGTGAACATTGGTATACAAGTCTTTGTTAGAGGCTCTGCCTTCAAGTCTTTTAGGTATATACCTAGGAGTGGCATTGCTGGGTTATATGTTAGTTTTATTTTTAGTTTTTCAAGGAACTGCCACACTTTTTCCACAATGGCTATACCATTTTGCATTCCCACCAGCAATGGGTAAGGGTTCCAGTTTCCCCACATCCTTGCCAGCATTTGTTATTTTCAGTTTTTTTTAATCTTAGCCATCCTAAAAACCAAACCCGTTACCGTCGAGTCGATTCCAACTCATAGTGATCCTGTAGGACACAGGGTTTCCAAGGAGTGACTGGTGGATTTGAACTGCTGATCTTTCGGTTAGCCGCCATAGCATGCTGTAGCTCTTAACCACTGTACCACTAAGACTCCATCCTAAAATGGTATCTCATTGTGGCTTTGATTCGCATCTCTCTGATAGCTAATGACGCTGAGCATCTTTTCATGTGTTTTGTGGCCATTTGAATGTCCTCTTTGGTGAAATGTCTGTTCAAGTCCTTTGCCCATTTTATGATTGGGTTATTTGTCCTTTTGTTAAACTGTTGAAGTTTTATATATATTTTGGTTATTAGATTCTTGTTGGCTATATGGTTTCCGAAGATACTCTCCCAGTCGATAGCTTGTCTTTTCATATTTTTGGTAAAGTCTTTATGAACAAAAATTTTTAATTTGTATGAGGTCCTATTTATTTCTTTTGTCTTTGGCTGTTTGTGTTTTTGTTATTATATCAGGTAATCCATTGTTGAAAGCTAGGCCTGACAGCGTTGCCCCTGCTTTTTCTGCTAAGAATTTTATGGTTTTAGTTTGTAGATCATGCAGTTTTTAGCAGAACTAGAACCTATTTTTTCTGAACTCCTGTGCTCTTCCTACTGTTTTTTTTTTTTTTTTTTTACTTTAAAATCATGTATAATGTGGTCCTCTGTTTCTGTATTTGTGAGAGCATCTGTAAATCAAGGCAAGTTAATTTAGGAAACAGTCTAAATGTTTTCAGCCACGCAGATGGTAACTTTAGTCAGTGTTCTATGTCTGTCTTTCACGTGTCATTGCCCTTTTGTTTTAGTTAGTTTGGAAAAAAATTTATGTAACATACATAGAAGTAAATACAATAATGAACCCTTGTGTCTCCATCACCCAGCTTCTGCTATTATCAACATTTGATAATAATAGAAGTCTTATTTGAAGTATCTTCTGTCCCCTTATTTTTCTAGAATTTTATATATATATACATATATAGTACTTTAGGTGAAAGTTTACAGAACAAATAATTTCTCATTAAACTGTCAGTACACATACTGTTTTATGACATTGGTTAACAACCGCACAATGTGTCAACCCTCTCCCTTCTCTGCCTTTTTTTTTTTTTTGGTGAAAATATACATAGCCAAAGATACACCATTTCAAAAATTTCTGTATGCACATTTCAGTGACATCAGTTACGTTCTTCCAGTTGTGCTGCTGTTCTCACTTTGGATGAAGGTTTACAGAACAAAATAGTTTCTCATTAAACAGTACACATGTTGCCCTATGACAATGGTTAAGAAAATGGTAGCCAGGCACCATCTATTTGTGCTGGACTCAGTCTGGTGGAGGCCTTGGTAGCTGTGGTCCATTAGTCCTTCGGACTAACCTTTTCCTTGTATCCTGTTCGCTTCATTCTCCCTTGCTCCTGAAGGGGTGAGACCAGTGGAGTATCTTAGATGGCTGCTCACAGGCTTTTAAGACTCCAGACGCGACTTAACCAAAGTTGAATGTAGAACATTTTCTTTATAAACTATGTTATGCCAATTGAGCTAGATGTTCCCGGAGACCATGGTCCCCACAGCCCTCCGCCCAGCAATTCAGTACCTCAGGGAGTTTGGATGTGTCTGTGGAGCTTCCGTGACCTTTCTGTGTACAAGTTGTGCTGGTTTCCCCAGTATTGTGTACTGTCTCACCCTTCACCAAAGATATCAGTTATCTATTATCTGTTTAGTATTTCCCTCCCACCCCTCCCATCCCTCGTAACCAACAAAGATTGTTACTTTTTGTGTGTAAACTTTTTCATGAGTTTTTACAATAGAGGTCTCATACAATATTTGCCCTTTTGTGATTGACTTATTACTCAGCATAATGTCCTCTGGAATACTTTTAAAGCAAATTCTAGACATATTTGTTTCACTTGTAAATACCTTAGTATGCATCTCTAACAGTGTAAAATACTTAAAAAGAAAACATAGTCACAGTGCTCACTCAAAGGATAATCTTACTTAAAATTAACTCTTAATATTATAATATCTTCTAATACCTAGTCCACATTCAAATTTCCCCAGTTATCTCAAAAAAATGTCTTTGTATAGTTGCTTTGTTTGAATCTGGATTCAATTAAGGTCCACATCATGTTTGTTATATCAATCTTATGTTCTTTTAATCTAGAGCAGTAACCTCCCTTCCTTCCCTCCTTTTAAAAATGCCTTTTATTTGTTGTAAGGTTATTTGTCTTGTGGAATGTCTCATATTTGACTTACTGCTTTCTCATGGTATCATTTAACATATTTCACTACCATCCATATTTCTTGTAAACTTAGATTTATAGGCTTGATTAGATCGGGTTCATTTAAACACTCTGTTGGTGGTTCTTTATACTTCCTAGTGCATCACATCAAGAGGCGTAAGATGTTGTGGTTGTCTCTCTTCTCATGAGTGTTCAGATTGATCAGGGTTGAGACATCATCAGCCTGATGTACCTATTTAAAGGTTACTCATTAATCTCTCTGAAGTTGCTGGTCAGTGCAAATAGTTAACAGGCTTGGCTACTAGCTGAAAGCTTGGAGCTTTGAGTCTGCCCAGAGGCACCTTGGAAGAAAGGCCTGGCGCTTTGCTTCTGAAAAATCAACCATTGAAAACCCTGCAGAGTACAGTTCTACTCTTATAGATGTGGGGTTTCCATGAGTTGGAAATGACTTGATGGCAACTGGTTTTCTTTTTTCATTGGCCTCTCACCTAATGATTTCATCAACCATTGGTGATCATTGCCTAGATCCTTTATTTCATTCTAATCGTCATTTCTTCTGCATTTATTAGCTGAAATCCTTGTAAAAAAGAACTTTCCCTCATCAAATATGTCATTCCCATGAAATATAGTTTATGCAAGGGAAACATTTATTTATTATATGTTTTTTCATTTATGCTATAGTGTGTTCACATTGTTGTCATGTCATTGAGGCAGCTAGTCAAGGAGACCATCTGTCTGTTCTAATGAAGGGTGGGTAGATTCTCCTTTATGTCCTTTCCTTCTTATTTAATACCTATATGTCTTCTTTTCTAAATCCATTTGAGGGCTTGGTATTTCTTTGTCTACTCTAGCTTGAGGGTAGAGGGTGGGGAGCAGAATAAAGCTCAGCTGATTGTATGTGACATCTTTTGTTAGAGGACTTGGGCTGGCTAGGCTCTCTCTTCATAGATGTTTGTCACATAGTCAGGGGTGTATCCTCTTCCTGTGAGTCAACTTTGAAGTTTAAATTTAAAAATTCAAATTTCAAACTTCGAATTTCCTTAATTTGGTGTGGAGGCCTAGAAAATGCTAAACTCTGGCAGTTCTTGCCTCTGCTGAAATCTTGCAGTGGTGGTTAGAGTATCTCCAAGTTTTTTTACTGGGCTGCTGCCTTATGTTCTCAGCCAGAGAATTCACAAAAGTAGATTGATTTACCCTCTTTCCCCAGCACTGTTTCTTTAGAGTGGGATAGGATTAGAAGTGTAGCCAAACCAGAACCTTATTTATTTGCTTGGTTGCCACTTCCTGAACTTTATGGCAGAAAGTCAGACCTCTTTCTGTTGAAATTGGTTATTTTTACTAGTCTTTTTAAAATATTTATTGTAATTGTTAATTTTATTATGAAATGGGGAGGAAAGAGTCTTTGATTTGCTTTACTTTGCCTTCTTCCGTATAATAATTTTGTTTGTTTGATTGCAGAGAATGGGGAGAAGGAACCCCCAACAACTCTACTCTGGGTTCGCTATTTCCTGGCACAGCACTTTGATAAGCTTGGACAGTATTCTTTGGCTTTGGATTATATTAATGCTGCAATTGCTAGTACTCCAACTCTAATAGAGTTATTCTATATGAAAGCAAGAATTTACAAGGTAAAATCTTCAGTAATGTTTTTTAAATATATGAAGAATTCAGCCAGTTTAAGAGCCCTTGGAGATCTTTCTATGTAGAAATTGCTTCCAAGGTATCCGATAAAGTATTTATTAAGGAATTTTATGTTACATGGTTGGTATAATCATTGTAGGTTATTTGATTCGACTCTTAGTAAATGTAAATTGTAGTTTATCAAGAGATTTCTAGATAAATTTAACAGAAATCTTGCCAAATTTCTAATTCATCTTTATAAATTTCCTCTACTTATATTGCACCCATATTCTCTTGATCGGAAACTGTGATTTCCTTAATGCTTTCATCTCTTGTAGCATATAGGTAATCTCAAAGAAGCCGCAAAGTGGATGGATGAAGCACAGTCTCTGGACACAGCTGATAGATTCATCAATTCTAAATGTGCAAAATATATGCTTCGAGCAAATATGGTAAAAGAAGCAGAGGAAATGTGCTCCAAGTTCACAAGGGTAGGAAATATCATACATGAACATGTAATTATGTAAGTTAGTAAAATTAGACTTAAGTTCTGTGACGATTTGTGAAGTTTGCTACTTAAGTTTGTAAGAATGAATGTTTGTTATATTTTTTAAAATCCCGTTTAGTTCATATCCTAAGTATAGTTTATTCTGCGTATGTGTGTTTCTGATCGGTGGGATGGTTAAAAAGCAATAGTAGTAACAAAAAGCCAGCATTATGCCATAGTTCAGAGCTTATGTATAAATTCTGTTTACGTTCCTCAGTTCTTATCTCAGTAGTAATTTTTGACTGCTTTTTAGTGCTTTTCCTTTTATAGTGTCTTATTTCAGGTTTGGCTCACAGAATTCTTCCTACGTAGAATAATTTCTTTGGACTACTACTTTGTTTATGACATTCTATAATTTAACTTCTCAAGTTGTTGAACTAAATGTCTGTTTCTTCTCTTTTCCTCCTTTACCTTTTCCTATCCTTTTCCACATAGACTTTCTGTTATATTATTACATTAATACACGTTTATGGTTAAATAAATACACAGACTAATAGAATAGAAAGCTCAAAAATCAATTCACACATATTTAGGAACTTGCTGTATAGCCAGAGGTACTTTAAAAATCAGAGAGGTAAAGATGTTGCTGGGTCAGTTATTTGTGTTGGAAAAAAAAAACGAGCTCCCTATCTTACACTGCACGTAATCCAGTGGATTAAAGATCTAAATATGGGGAGCAAACCTTTAAAAAATTTAGAAGAAGGTATAGAAGTGTATGTTTAGGGCTCTAGGTAGGAAGTATTTCTTTTGGAAGTTTTTCTTAAGGTGCCAAAAGCATAAACTTAGAGAGAGTATAATTGATGCACTTGACTATATTAAAATTTACATATAACTAAAAATAACTATAAGCAACTTGAAAAGATAAACCATAGAACTGGAGAATATGTTTCCAACCCATATGATGAAAGAAGGATTTATAGAGATTGCCAAAGAATTCCCTGAAATGGTTGTATAATGCACATTGAATGTGACATTGAGACATAATAAAGGAATCGTATGTGTAAATTTGATTTCCAAGTTTTAATTAAGATAACTTTGAAATAAATTTGTGTCTCCAAGTGCCCATTATATATGAAGGGCTTTAGTGCTTGTGTTTGCAAGTAAATTATTTAGGATGAAAATAAGTTACTGCTGTGCTCTGTGATGCCAATATACTGCCTTCCTTAAAATCTTAACTAGGTTGTTTTGGGTCTGGATGTTTATGGAAACATCCTTATATTCAGAAATCATGGAATAACATGGACTTCTATTGTGCAAATTTAAATACTTGCAAGAATGATGTCATACAATCATGTAAACACAAACCTAAAAACCAAACCCATTGCCTTCAAGTGGATTCTGACTCATGGTGACTCCATGTGTTACAGAGTAGAACTGCTCCATAGGATATCTTGGCTGTAATCTTTATGGAAGTAGATCACCAGGCCTTTCTTCTGCGGTGCTGCTGAATGGGTGCGTACCGCCAACCTTTAGGTTAGTAGTCAAGCGCAAACTGTGTTTGCGCCACCTAGAGACCTTATATAAAAACACAGAAGTAAAAACTCAGTACAGTACAGGCAGTCCCCGGATTATGAACGAGTTCCATTCTAAGTCTGTCTTTAAGTCGAATTTGTACCTAAGTTGGAACGGTTAGGTACAGTTCGTATCTAACATCTGTAAGTCAAATGTTTATCTTACTGTATAGTATGTAGTGTACCTTTCTATGCATAAAAAACATTAAAGAAACACTTCCAGGTACACTAAAACATCTTTAACATAATAATACAGTAATAATAATAATGTTTTGATGCACATCGCAAAGTAGCGTCCATTTGTTATTATGAACCATTGTGGGTACCTCGAGTTTTTAATATAATAGGCTTTACTAAGGGTGGGGGGTGGTTCATAACTATGGGTTGTACCTAAGTCAGACATTTGTAACCCAGGAACTGCCTATAGATATGTGACCAGAGGATGTGAATAGTTTTCACAGAAGTGAAAAATGGAATGGCTGAAAAAGATTTCTTCATTAGTAATCTGGGAAATGCGAATTAAAACAATAAGATAGCATTTTATACCCATTAAATTGGCAAAAAGTTTAAAAGCCTGACATTACTAAGTACTGACAAATGGTGAGGATGGTGCAGGACTGGGCAGTGTTTTGTTCTGTTGTACATGGAGTCGCTGTGAGTCAGAATCAGCTTGACGGCACCTAACAACAACGACAGTGTTATGTATATTTAATTTTCATCAGAAGTCACTCCTGTAGACCATTTGCTACGTCTTTTTCACCATAAAAAGGTCTTTCTAATCTGAAGCTGCCTGACCCCTCCTGTTACCATCAAGTTGGTTCTGACTATAGCAATCCTATACTTTACAACATTTAGAGTAATGCTAATAATTTATGTACCATTTGTTAAGGGGAAATAGAAAAGTGACCCTAGCACACATTAAGGACTGAGCTAAGTTCTTTATATACATTATTTCATTTGATCTTAACAACCCTGTAATATCATCTCCCCCATATTAACATTAAGAAAATGTTTTTAAGAGAGGTCAAGAACTGTGCCAGAGGGCACCCAGCTAGTTACTCATTTACAGCCAGACTTCTAGCTAGCCTAAGTTCTCTAAAACCCTTGTTCTTATGTTAAACCAATTAAAAATGTGTGATAAGAACAGAATCCACAGTGGCTAGTGTTTCAAAAACTCAGATGCTATAGGATTAACAGTAGAAGCAAAGTGGCAGCTATAAGGTTGGAGGAAAGTATTAGCAAGGATGATGATTATTAGGATAAAAATAAAATTAATAGTAATACTGTTTACATTCACATAGCGCATAATCGGGTGTTTATTTGACATTTTACTGCAAGGGGCATCCCTGGGTGGCACAAATGGCTACGCACTTGGCTATTAACCAAAAGGTAGGCAGTACAAACCCACCTAGAGGCACTTCAGAAGAAAGGCCTGGCAGTCTGCTTCCAAAAGGTCATAGCCATGAAAACCCTGTGGAGCATAGTTCTTCTCTGAAACAAGTGGGGTTGCCATGAGTCAGAATTGACTCAGAGGCAGCTGGTTTTGGTTTTTTACTGCAAGGTAATTGAGACTCTGAAGAGTTCATTGACTCATCTTTGGTCACATTGTAAATAGTGCCAAGGCTCAAACTCTTCAGTGCCATTTCCACTATATCACAGTTTTGAAGATGAGAAGAGAGTACAAGAACAGACATTAAAGCAATGATGTTTCTAAAGAAAAATACTACCTGGAAGGTCAAGGTAAAGATTAGAAGTAAAGTACGATTTACAAAATAGATATACAGAACTTTCTTAAACAAGTTAAACAAGTCCAGCGATCATAAAACAGAACAAAAAACTGGAATGTGTTTAAAAGAAGCTATAAAAAGGCATAGAATGAGAAGGATTAAAGTAGTTGTCGGTTTAAAGAGAGTATTCCTTAAAAAAAGCTGTCGCTCAGCTTGCTCATCGTAATTGCCTCTGGTCATCCACTCTTGACAAGTCACTGTGCTACACAGGGAGAGCTTGTTCAGTGTACCCATACTGGCTCACTGGCCAGGGACGTCTGTGCTGTATAGCGAATAGCATAGTGAGCCAGAGGAGGGAAATTGCTAATGACCATGAATAATCACTTTATGTCTGCTGGCTAATGAATGAATTAAGTGCTCATACTTCCTTCTTACAGTTTAGAATTTTCGTACAAAGTTGTCAGCGCAGGTTGGATAGTCCTATTTGGTAAATTTTTTGAAATTAAAAATAATGTAGACTTCTTAAAAATAATATGGTCATCAAAAAATTGGAAATTATAGGCAAGCATAAAGAATAAATAACAGCCATAATCCCATTCATGCAGAGAGAGCCAGGTTTTAGATTTTTAATGCGAATTCTGAAAATTGAACTGATAACACAGAAGAGGGTAAAAAGATTTGAAGACTGAACTTATTTGTATAAATGTACCTTTACCATCTTTCGTGGGGTCACACAAAATATATTTAAAGTAACTGTCTTCTAAACTTTGACAAAATACTCAACTACTAAAACTAGATAGTTTACCTTTTCTCAGAATTCTCATTGAGCCTGAATTAAAATATTCTTAACGAATTCAGTTATTTGGTTTGTCAGTATACTGCAAAGGATAATAAATAGCAAAGTAGAAGTTGACATGGAACAGGAGGTGCTGTTAGAAGTAGACACATTGGTACAAAGAAAGTGACAACTGATAGCCTAACGTGCAGGGAGAAGGCTGGGAATGTGAAAAACAGGCTTGCCACTGTTACTAACAGATATGACAGTGATGGATGTGTACGGTAGTGACCCTGAGTCAGCACAGAAAGGTTAAGTAGCTTTCGCTTAAAAGACATAAGGTACGACATGCTTCATAGGCTCGTTGACTTAAATAGTTTAAATAAAAGCATTGGTGCTTAAGTATTTGAAGTTTTTTATATGCAAAGTGTTGAATATTCAGACAGGGCTGGAATATTAGGCATTTTGTAATTTGAAACCAGTAGGAGCCTTTAGAAACCCTTTAATATATTTGTTAATTCCCGTTTCTTGTCATAATAGTTCTTGTAGCTGTAGTTGTAAAGGAGAAAATGAGATTTTTAGGATCTGTTTTATTGTTTGTTTCTTACGGTTATGAATGCTTCCATTTCAGGAAGGAACATCTGCCATGGAAAATCTAAATGAAATGCAGTGTATGTGGTTTCAGACAGAATGTATTTCAGCTTATCAACGTTTGGGGAAATACGGGGATGCCTTGAAAAAATGCCATGAAGTAGAAAGGGTAAGTTGTTAAAATATTGACTTTAGTTTTTTCCTGTAAGATGACAAAAAAAGCAGGTAGATTTCTGCACAGGAGATCATCTACCTCTCTGACTACTTTGGAAGCTTCATTGTGAAAAAATTTTTTGATTTTAGCCTTCCCGGCATTCAGAAGTTGTGAACAAATGTTTGCTTTTCTTGATCCTCCAGTTTTTTTTTTATTTTGACATGTCTATATATTTTTGTCTGAAGGAAGAAGGAAAAAGATTAATTTATTAAACCATTGTTTTAAACATAAATTAAAAAGTTTTCTTCTCTGATTGGGCCATCATTTGATTTTCATCACTAGCCTAGAAGGACACACAAGCTAATGGCAACCTCTTTCCTCTTTATATCAGGATCTGGTCCGCAGCCAGCCTCTCTCCGATTTGTCTTCCCAGGATATTTGTTCTCACGTTCAGTATTTTGTACAGCAATCTGTAGCCAGTTTGCAGGCTTATTTTATTATTTGCTTTTAGGATTATGTATGTGATGTGCCTTACTGTTCCATGCTATAAAAAGGTTTAGTGAGGGGACTTTTCTTTTCCTTTGTGTGAATTTTTGTTTTCCTGTTCTTTGTCATCTCTGAAGCACTCTCCTTCCAAATGGACAACAGGAGGAAAAGAGCCGCTCATGCGCCCCTTGAGGCAGTCCTCAGCAGCCCTCAGTTGTGGGGTCAGTCGACACCACTGTTCCCATGCTGACCGCAGTATAAAACCACAGGCATCGTAGTCAGGTGAGCCTGATGTCTGCACCACGGCAGTCACTTTGGCCTTTTTCCCCTGTGAAACTCCTGAGGTTCCCCAAAGGAAAGGCATCTTAGGGGGTGGCTTTTGAAGGAAATTGGAACTAGGATTACCCTAGCCCTTTAGAAATAACCTAGTTTTTGTTTCGTTTTGATTTGCCTTTTTAAGCCTGGGCTTGATGGCTATTATCTGTGGGGAAAATCCTCCTCATCTTCTCCTTCAAAGATACAAAGCCCGTGGACGATATGTGAAATATCCAAGCACTCAAATTTCAGGCAGGCTCTTATTTCTGTAGTAAAACTGTAGAGCACTAGCTTGTTTCAACACTCCCTAGATGACCATCACTTTAAAAGCATTCTTCTTATTAAGGAAATATATTTTTATTATTCAGGACATTCTCAGTGAGAAGTAGATTCTTTCCTTGATAATGAAGAGGCTGCTACTCACTTAGGGATCAATTATTCCAGCAAGACCATACTGTAGAGATGTATCAAATTTTCCATAAAAGTGAAATTTGAATGTCCATGAACAAACAAACAAAAAACCCATTGCCATCGAGTCAGTTCTGTCTCATAGTGACCTTATAAGATTATTATAATTGGGAACTTCTTGAACTTAAACCCCACTCCTCCTGACAGTAATGACCAGGTTACTCTATCCTTTTAAATATTTTTTGAGAGTTATTAGAATATAAGTAGCTCTCCCATTACTAAATTTCATTTAGATTATGCTTCTTAAATTTTAGTGGTTTTGGCTGAGTAGCATGGAATAAAATTCTGTAGTGTCAGATAAAGTACTTCTAGTTCAAAAAGTGACTTAAAATGAGTAGTTTAGAAGAAAGCATTTTTGAAGTGAAAAATTACAGGAAATCATTGGCTATTAGAGATCAAAACAGGACAGAAGTCATCACCCTTTGACATGTTACATAAATATTGCTAGCAACTATTTATTTTGATGCTTGAGAATAGAAAGAACTAGAAACAGATAAACAAGAAAAGAGTGTACTCTTACTGTCACACCACTTGTAAGCTAGTCTTTTTACAAGGAACAATTCATATTAAAAGTAAATAAGACTTAGCATGTAGAAATTTTTGAAATGGTGTATCTTTGGCTATGTGTATTTTCACCAAAAAAAAAAAAAAGAGGTTGAGAAGTTAGAGGGTTGATATGTTGTTGGGGTTGTTAACCAGTGTTATAAAAGAACATGTGTACTTCTGTTTCATGAGAACTTATTTGTTCTGTAAGCCTTCACCTGAAGTACAATTAAAAAAAAAAAAAAGACTTAAGTCTCTTGGTAATTGTATGTAGAAACATAGGAGTGCTTAGTACAAATAGGGTCATTAAATGCTTGTTGACTGAATGATTAGCACTTCTGAAATTAATTCCTTATAAAATTAATATAGATTAAAAGAAAATCCTTAATAATATAATTGGAAGGATTTGGGAGTAATTACAGAATTCAAATATTTATTACAATAGGTACTTGCATGAGTTACTTTTGTGCCTGGATTTTAAATATTTTAATAAGGAAATGAACACCTTTCAAAAATAAAACTAGATTCACATTCATTTCGTTTACCTTCTAAATAGTGAATAGAGAAATATATTCAAATAAGGATTAAGTCTTTTGCCCTTAAGAATTCTTTCAGGAATTCTTTCACTGAAGGCAGTTTTAGCTAGGGTACATATTGCTGTGGGTTCGTAGTAATTGGATTTGACATAATAGAATTCTAGAATGACTCAGCATAGTACTTTGTTCTGTCTTCATCTTGCCATTCTCATAGGATTTTAGGAGTATATGTAAAGGTTGTATAATCCAGTCCTATCTAATGTTTGAAACTTGAAACATTGACAGCCTTCCTTAAAATATTGTATATAAACTTGTGTTCAGAATAATTTTTATAACGCTTTTATCTTTCAAGAATTGAGTATTCTTTTATGGTTAGTCTTCAGGCAATTGGTTTCTTATCATTTTAGTGTGCTGATTTATATCCAAGACAGGGCCGGCAACCAATACATATTTCTAAAACTCTTTGATCAGATCTAGGATTTATGGTAGATTAAAACCATAGAAAGTTCATAACTTTATTTTCGGGTGCACCTTAATTTTTATCAAGTTTATACATGCTTTATAATGACAGATTTTGTATAAGGGAAATCGAGTTCCATATTACCCTGGTTGCTCTAGTTATTTTTTAAGTCCAGAGTTTTTTTGTTTTTGCATTTCTACGTATGAACTCTTACTAGTGTCATCCGGGAACTCTGAGAGGTAATAGGCCTGGAGAATCTGGGTCAGAAGAGAGAGCCTAATAAGGAATTCCTAAAGAAAATGACAGTCTTAAGCTGTGGATGGCTTTTCTTAAATCTTGCAGATCTGTTTTACTTTGACTCAATCCTAATTTTGACCACTTGAGTAATTCCTGTCAGCATTAACTGCCTCCCCTTCTCCCCCCAAAAAAAGAAAAACGGAATGAGTGTTTAAGATGAGGGAAAAAGAATTAAGGACATGGGCTGTATGTTAAGATTTGGGTACCTAGTTTTCTGCAGTGAGCTGTCTTAGTCTCTGTGTTCTGTAGCTTATTTTATGTGGTAGGGAAAAATCAACCCATGATAGTACAAAGGAGATCTTTGTGATGATGGAATAGTTCTGTATCTTGATTGTAGTGTTGGTCACATAAATCTACACATGTGATAAGATCACATAGAACCATATCACTGTGCCAGTGCCAGTTTCTTGGTTTTGATTTATACTATAGTTATATAGGCTGCACCCTTTGGGGAGATCTGGGTAAAGGTACATGGGACCTCTTTGTACTGCATTTCCAACTTCCTTTGTATCTATAATTATTCCAAAATAAAAAGTTAAAAAAAAAAATCAACCCAAGATTATTTAGTTGTTTCTATGTAGGATTCTAGGAAAAGTATTAATAAGCCATAGCTGCAGTACCTTTTTCTCCCCCTAGTTTAATCTAGCCATATCCTGTTCACTGTCATTTAGCTTATTATAGGGCGATCAACCATTCAGATTTGCCTGGGACGGAGGAGGTTCCCAGGACACAGAGCTTTCAGTGGTAAAACTGGGAAAGTCTTGGGCAAAGCAGAATGAGTTGGATGAGTTGGTCACCCTATTTATGGAAGACATTAACTGGAGAGAGGCAGCCTGTGGGCTGTTACTGATAAAGAGGTGGTTTAACTATTTGTGATTCCATTCTGCTCCCTCCCATCTTGACTATCAGAGGCTTGACTTTAAATCTTTGTGTACTAATGCTGCTGGGAGTATTTCTTGAAGCTTGTGTCTGCCTTTTTACACATATAAATGTTTCTCAGCCTAAAAAAGTCCTGTAAACTCTTAGATGTTTTCATCTCATTATGTGTTCCATAACTTTTAGCATTGCCATTTTTCCTTAGTTAACTGTATTGAATTTTAAGATATTCTTATGGTGCTAGATATAACTTTATTTACATGAAGGAAAACCACTGACAACTTTATGAAATATATAATCCTTTAATTTTTAAAAAATAAAACCAAGTTTAAATATATATTATTATTTGTGAGTTGGTTTGACTTATTGATGGAGAGGAATGCAGTCTTCAAATATAACATCAAGGCATGAGTTTTGAAGTAATAAGTATAAACTAATTGAAATGTTTGTTTTCTATTTCTTTCCATCTACACTGTGTGCTTTTTTATTCTTCTTATCTTTGAATTTCTCTTAAAATCTCAGGTACTTAATGTAATTTTATGTATAGTGTGTTTCTAATTACCACCAATACCAGCTGCCATTGAGGAAATTTTGACTCATGGCTACCCCTTGTTTGTCAGAGAAGAACTGTGCTCGCTAGGGTTTTCAAAGGCTGATTCTTTGGAAGTAGATCACCAGGCACTTCTTCCTAGGTGCCTCTGGGTGGACTCAGACTTCCAGTCTTTCAGTTAATAGCTGAGTGTATTAACTGCATCATCCAGGGACTCCTTCTGTTTACCAAGACAACTAAAATTATCAAGTGATTATGGACGATTACTAGTATGTCCTCTGCATAGTGAGTTATTAGACCCCCCGTGCACAAGAAAAATGTAGTAGAAGCTTGGCCTATGTTGGTATATTGAATCACTCATATTTGGAGATGCTAAAGTAGAGGAGAAGAAAGAAGAGGGAGGTAGAAATGCATGTAAGGGAGAAAATAAAAAGTATGAAGTTGCTTTATGGGGGGAGGAGGGACCAGTGTTCTCCTTTCCATGTAAATTCTTAACCTTTTTTGGGTCTTCGACCCTGTGAAAATGAAATGAGAACTTCGCGCTCACTCCGAAGAAAAAAGCTATTGTATTTTTGTGCGTCACTCCATATTTGAAGAACCTCTGCTAACATGGCATGTGGGTAGGTCAATGGGAACTTTATCGACTGAGAGAAAACCATAATAGTCTGCATTTTTATAGCAGGTTACTGTTTAGAATACACATTGGCATATGTTCTTATTTGATCTTTTAACAGCCTTAGAAAGTGGTTGTATAGATTTCTTTATTCCTAATTTAGATTCAATAATTGAGGCTCTAAGAAATTAAAAGACTTTCCCAAGTTCACGTGCTGCATAAACAGCTTATCTTTTGAGTTAGCAAATAGTGTGCTTATTAAATGCCTGCCAGGTTTTAGGTTCTGTGCCAGATAGTGGGGCAAAGATGACAGAGTTGTCCTTGAAGAGCTCATGGTTGAGGAGGGCAGTCTGACTTGTAAACATTTAGCGTGAACCTGCGTGTATCTACTGTTCATTCAGAGCTCTGTTTAAAAACTCTGCCGTGCTGGTTTTTAGGGAATACTAAAAAAAATTTCATTAAAATGAAAATGTTGCTATGTACTAATTTCCAGGTTTGAAAAGTAACTTGATCATTTGAGTTATTACATAGAAGTTGAGTGTCATCACAAAGCATGGTTTATAGAGAGTGGGCATAGACTGTAGGAAGAGAAATGTTAAGTTGAATGCAAAGAAGAACTTGATGTCCTTTATAGTGTTCAACACTGGAGAGGGCAACTAAGTGAAATCAGAACAGTTTAAATTGTTTTTCAGGCTTTTTATGATTTTCTGTTCAGAAGTGGACATCATCAACATAAATGTAAGGAATAATTTTGTGGTTTTGTTTTGAAGCATTTTTTTGAGATAACTGATGACCAATTTGACTTCCATACATACTGCATGAGAAAGATGACCCTTCGTGCCTACGTTGACCTTTTGAGATTAGAAGATATACTCAGAAGACATGCCTTCTATTTCAAGGCTGCTAGATCAGCAATTGAAATATACTTGAAATTGTATGATAATCCTTTAACCAGCGAAAACAAACAACAAGAAATAAACTCAGGTAACTGAAAAGGAACTTCCTTAAAAATGTATTTTTAAAAAGAACACCGAATTTCAGAATCATTAACATAAATGATCCAATGCCAAATGAATGTGAAGACATTAGATAACTGATCTGCTAAAACCAGAAAGTGGGGGAGGCTTAAAAAGTGGGATCGTGTTCTGTAGCTGATGCTTCCGAATTAGCAAAATGAAATGACTAGCAATCTTTTATTTTTACCTTCAGTAGGGCCAATTCAGGAAAAACAGAAATGTCTACGTGCTGGGTTCTTTTTTTTTTTTAAATTGTGACTGAAAATAGCTTTGAGCTCCTTAGGGAAAAATATATATTCTTACACCTTCCAGTGCCTGCTTTATTGAAAATAAGAATGCCAGTGAGAATATCTGTACAGCTTTAGTGCACTAAAATGTTAACGTCTGTGAATATTTGAGAAACAGTAGCATGGAGGCAGATTTGGGATCTTTCATTCCTAAATATTTTTATAGTGTTTAGAGACCACAGTGTGTTTATGTGTGTTATCTCACTTATCCTTGAAATACTCTGAGAGGGTAGTTGGTGTTATCAGCCCTGCTTTACAGTTTGGAACTTGAGACTGGGAGGGATGAAGTGATTTGCCTGAAGTCCTGTATTATGTACCAGGCAGAGCTGGGGCTATAATTGGTTAATTTTAGTCAATGCAACATTTACTCATTGACTTTTATATGCCTGGTTTTGTGCTAATCACTGGGAATACACTTTCTAAAAGCTCTTGTGTAGTTGCCTCTCCCCTCCCCACCCATCCCCAAAGCTGTACTAATAGCATATGTATTGCAGAAGAATATGAGGAAAATGGGAACACTGCCTTAGTAGAACTTTGGTTCATTTGGATATTTATAGAAAACCTGTCTGCCAAAGAATTGAAGAAAATGCTTAGCAAGCAGAGAAGAGCTCAGAAAAAGGCTAAATTAGAAGAAGAGAGAAAGCATGCAGAAAGGGAACGTCAACAGAAAAATCAAAAGAAAAAAAGAGAGGAAGAAGAGGAAGAAGCCAGTGGTCTCAAGGAAGAACTTATACCTGAAAGATTAGAAAGGGTGAGATGAATTTACTGTCTTATGTTATTTGGTAAAATTTATGTTATTGGGTTCAGTTCTGGCCATAAATAGGATTTATTTAAATCTATAAATCAGAAGCCATTTGTAATGTTTCAGGGTCATTATGATAAATATCAGTGATCTTTGATAATATGCAAATTTTGTCTGATACAAATTATATGAAGAATTCTTGTTGTAAGCAGCAGAAAGATGCCCAACTTCTAATCCCTGGAACCTGTCAGTATGTTACTCTACATGGCAGAAGGGAATTCAGGTTGCTAATCAGTTGACCTTGAGATGGGAGATTATTCTGGATTATCCATATGGGCCCAGTATAACCACAGGGGGCATTAAAAGTGGAAGAGGGAAGCAGAAGAGGTCAGAGTGATGTAGTGTAAGAAGTACTCAGCCTGCTGTTGCTGGATCTGAAGGTAGAGGAAGGGGGTTACAAGCCAGAGAATGTAGGCAGCCTCTAGAAGCTGGAAAAGGCAGGGAAATGGATTCTCCCCTAGAGCCTCCAAAAGGGAACAAAGTCCTGACAACAACTTGATTGTCTCACCCAGTGAGACCCATGTGAGATTTTTAACTTCCAGAACTGTTAAGATTCTAAATTTGTGATTTTTTTTAAAGCCAGTAAGTGTGGTAATTTGTTACAGCAGCAATAGAAGACCAATACAATTGCCTGTTAAAAATAGAAGCATTTTATAGCCCTTAAACTGTTGTTGTGGTGTGCCATAGAGTAGATTCCAACTCTCATAGTGACACTAGAGTATGAGGTATAAGATAGCTCTTACTAGATAGGTTTGAAGCTACAGAGAAATAGCACCTCATCTCCAGAATTTTCTCAACGTGTCAGTAGTTATTCAGGGACCATATTTAGGGAAATATTTACCTTTCTGGTTTATTTACTGTTAAGTATGAGTATTTTAAATTTATCATTGCTTTTTTTTAAATTTGTGTGATACTATTATATTTGTCCTGTTATTTTAGATGTTTGTAGTGTAAGAGGCTGTCAGTACTTGGTGTATCATCTCTTTAAGTATATGGAATAATTTTTTGTATTTTCTTGAATTTTTGTAAAATTATATTGATTTTATAATCAGAAAAAAAACCACAGAGCTGTTTCCATTTTGAAAATTGTTTACTGTGTACTTTGAATTTCTTTATATAGTTTTTAAATTAAAAAAAAATTTAAATAAGTTTTGCTGCTTATTTGTTTATATAAAGAAAACTGGCTGAATTATGTTAGCTAGATGTTTAGTATAAAATTTTAGAGGAAATTTTACTTTTATAATTTTTTTAAATAAATTTTTTTTCCTTTCTGTTTCAAAATAGGTAGAAAATCCCCTAGAAGAGGCAATCAAGTTCCTTATACCTCTTAAGAACCTTGTTGCTGATAACATTGACACTCATCTATTAGCATTTGAAATATATTTTAGAAAAGGTAATAAGTAGTTTGAGTTTGGTTTTTAACCTTTAATTGCATCAGTGACCAGATTCAATATAATCTTCGTCAGTTAGATCTGTTTTGTTTCTTAGAGTCCCATTTCCTTCCATAAAAGTTCTCAAACCCTTTTTCCTTTGCTACCCTAAACTTTTCTGGGTAATAAATTAGAATACTACAATTAAATCCATTTTAAGAATAAGTTTGAACAGTCATACAAATTAGTATTTACCTGAAGCAGTCCTTCATGGTTTTTCAAGCTTTTCTTTAGAAAATAAAAGTTATCTTTGATAATGAAAGTCAGCTTTGAATTTTGCTTATAAATTTTATAGAAGAGGTAACATTTTGTTATTGAATTTTAAGAGAGGCTGACATAAAGTGAAGAAAATCATGTACATAAATATTGCTGCTATTATTTTTTATCTTTTTTTCTGATCCAGGAAAGTTTCTGTTGATGCTGCAATCTGTCAAACGAGCTTTTGCCATAAACAGTAATAACCCATGGTTACATGAATGTTTAATTAAATTTTCTAAATCTGGTAAGTATCAAAGATCATTTTTATACCATTTAAATGAAGATATAGCTATAAGTCAAATATGCTAGTAAAGCAATGCTAGAAATTAGTGCATTTTTAGACTAGAATGATCTGTATTCCAAAGATGTGATAATACTTGTATTATGTAGAGTATATGAAGCTTAGTAATAAATACAAAGGTATTCCAAATAATTTTTTTAGAAAATGCTTACCAAAAATATCCAAATGTTTTCTTTTTTATAGTGTCTAATCATAGTAATCTTCCAGACATTGTAAGCAAAGTTCTCTCTCAAGAAATGCAGAAAATATTTTTCAACAAGGATTTGGAAAGTTTTAATGAGGATTTTCTCAAACATAATGCTACCTCTCTTCAGCATCTACTTTCAGGTTAGTATTTAGCTGCCAGAGTTAAAATGCTTGTGGAAAAAAAACTAAAATGTGAGAAACGAACATTTGAAAAGATATTCATCCTCACTAATTATGAGAGAAAAGGAAATATATCCCAACCATACCATTTTTGTTGTTGTTGTCTGTAGATAGGAGACTAGTCTTGTAAGGATGTGGCAGACAGGCACGTTTATACTTGGCTGCTTCAGGTGTAAATTGGCACAGCCACTTGGGAAAGCAGTTTCTCAGTTTTATCGAGAGCTTACCTTACATGTGTTTTTTGATTTAGTAGTCACACATTTGTCAATAATTTTAAGGAATTAATCTAAAGCAATGAAATAACTAAGTGCAAAGATGTTTACTGAAATGTTATGTGTAAGTATGGGGAAAAGAAGAAAGGAAACAGATTTAATGTCTGTCCAGTAATAAGGGAAGCAGTGGTAGGATCGTAGGATGGAATACCAGGTGGTCATTTAAAATGTTTATTCAAAAGGCTTGTAATAACAGGAATAAATATTTTTATAATATGTATGCAGAATTAAATATACAATATAATCTCAACTATGTAAAAATATGCATGGGAAAAAGGCTGAAAGGTAGTATTTACCAGAGCTTAAAAGGGTGCTTTTGGGTGTTGTGGTTATGAGTTACTTATTTTTCCATGTATTTTTATTACTTTATGTATTTTTTACCTTGAGGATTTATGTATATCGTGCCTTGTTCAGGAAGGATTTTAGGCAGTTTATACAAATTCTTAAAAATGACAAGATGACATAAATTAAAACTGGATAAAAGATTGTAGAAAAAGGAGTGGGGACAAAATGAAGTTTATATTATAGTTAACACTCCTACTTTAAGCCATATATTTAAACATTTTAACCTAAACTTTCTTACTATAAAGGGAAAGTTAGCAGTTCTGGTATCTATTGGGGGAAAAATTAATTCCTCTGAAAAATTACAATACTTCTTGGTAGTAAGGGTGGGTAAGAATTTCTCTTTAAGAACATAGAATAATGGAAGAAAACATTTCTTTATTATAATTGTGTGAAATGCCTTTCTAAGCGTTATATGGAATTCTAAGGAAAGAGATAATTTTCACCATATAAAAATGAAGGCAACATAAAGTCAAAACACCAATGGAAAAAAATATTCACAGGTATATAACTGATAAAAAGCTAATTACACATAGAGCTCTGTCTTAGTCTGGGTTCTCTACAGGAGCAAAACCAGTGAAGCATGTATAGGTATATGTATAGAGAGAAATTTACTTCAAGGAAATGGCTCACACAATTGTGGGAGCTGGCAAGTCCCGAATCTGTGGGTCAGGCAACAGGCTGAAGACCTCTGCTGGCTCACGTGGTTGCAGGGGCTGATGAACCCAAAATTTGCAGGTCAGGCGGCACGCCAGAAGACTTCTGTAGGCTTACATCTATAGAATCCTGGAGGTCAGGCAATGTGTAGTGGGAGAGTCGAGAAGAAATCGAGCTTTGCCAGAACATCCATTTATATCCTAGAGGCAGGCCACAACCCCAAGAAAACTCTGCTTTTAACTGATTGGCTGCTCACATCAGATCACAAAATGGAAGGTGATTACATAGTCTCTGCCAAACCGCTGAGAATCATAGTCTAGCCAAGTCAACACATAACATTAACCATCACAAGCTCTTATAAATTAATAAACAAAAGCCCAGTAGAAAAATGAGCATAGAATATGAAGCATGTATTTTACAGGAGAACTATAAACCAGGTTTTATTTAAAAGTAGTTGTTAAAAATTACTTATCTGCCGTTGTCTCCTACCACCCTCCATGTGGCAATAATTTGTTCCCTAGATGTTTTATTTTAGAGCTGCATCTTTTTCTTTATGGTTTTGACTGGCGTGTTGATCGATGCCATAGAGCAGCCCATATTTACATTTTGAGTTATATCATTTCTAAGAGGAGGGTGGTTGCTGAATCACTGGTCTTCTGATAAATGTTTAACAGCCAGCACTTTTGATAGTAAAAGCCTTGATTTATAGGTTTTTTTTGTGATAAAAGTACTCCTTTTGCGGCCCCTGGGAGACCCTGGTGGTCTAGTGGTTAAGAGCTGCAGCTGCTAACCAAAAGGTTGGCAGTTCAAATCCACCAGGCGCCCCTTGGAAACCCTATGGGGCAGTTCTGCTCTGTCCTATACTACGAGTCAAAATCCACAGCAACAGGTTTGGTTTTTTTTTGGGTATTGTGACCCCCTAAGGAGCCCTCAACGTTATGGCAACATGTTTAGTTTGTTGTGTAGGGAGCCTTGGAGGCACAGTGGTTAAAGCATTTGACTGTTAACCGTAAGGTTGGCCATTCGAACCCACCAACTGCTCCACAGGAGAAAGATGTGGCAGTCTGCTTCCAAAAACACAGCCTTGGAAACCCTGTGGGGGCAGTTCTACCCTGTCCTATAGAGTCGCTATGAGTTGGAATCAACTCGATGGCAATGGGTTTTGTTTTGTTTTTTTAATTGTGGCCCCCAGCTTTCAACGGGATGTCACTGAATAGGGAGTTGGGAAGAGAAGCCACAGTTGGCTCTTGAGAGCTGATAGAGCTAGCTCCAGCCCAGCACTGGTTAAATACTTGGAAGCATAATTTACATCACTCCTCAGTGTAAATCAGATCAAATGTAAGAACATCAGAGTTTATTCGTTTTAAAATATCTTGATATTTCAGGTGCTAAAATGATGTATTTTATGGACAAGTCAAGGCAAGAGAAAGCAATTGCTATTGCCACTAGACTGGATGAAACTGTAAAAGATAAAAATGTAAAGGTAAGATTTAACAAAACATGCGTCTTTGACAACATCATTCATTCATAAGTGGGCCTTCAGAGTTATGCCTGAATTGGAATCTCAGCTCCACCAGTTTACCTGTGTGACTTTAGGCAAGTTAACCTCTTTCAGCCTCCTGTTCCTCATTTATAAGCTCGAGATGAAAATGTTACCTATCAGAGTTGATGTAAGGGTTAACTGAAATAATCAGCTGTGAAGCACATAGTGCCTGGTACAGGGTAGGCACTCAGTAAATGTGAGCTATTGTTATTAATAAAGGACATTTTCATTTTTACTGATCACAGTTTTAGAGGTTCACTTTTTTAGGCCAGTTTTCAAGTATTAGAATTTTACTCCTTTTTTTAAGGCTTTGCAAAGTTGAATTTTAATGTTACTTTTTTGAGGTGTGATTACTTAACTGTAGACAGCAGGAAGTTAATTTAGACTGAAGCCTCGTTGGCTTTCTCTTGGTTTTATTAACAGATTGCATCTTTTGATTAAAGTGATTGTTAACTGAGCCTTTTTAAAAAATTGTATTTTTCCCTTATTTCTATAGATTTTAATAAAGGTTTCTGAGGCACTGCTTGATGGTAGCTTTGGGAGTTGTAATTCCCAGTATGAAGAATACAGAACAGCCTGCCATAAACTCTTTCCTTTCACGTCTGCTTTCCTGCCTGCCGTGCACGAAGGCGACAGTCACAGTGCAGCACTAAACCACACAGCTATTAACTACGATGTTTTGGCAAATGAAATGTGAATTCTCTTAAACAGTCTCCTCTAGACTCAAGGCTGAATTCAAGTCAGGGTTTCTATTCCAGGGTGCATTCTAATATAGATAGGAAATGAAATATTTGGGTAGAATTTTTAAATGCAGTATTCTGTAAGCTTGTTTTATGCTTTATCTGACTTTGCCGATTTACATAAACATCTGTTAAAATTACCTGTTTATATTTGTACAATTTTTCTTAAACTTCCAAATTATTAGCATTGTAGTAGGTGCTGTCACTTCTATAAATGTGATGATTTCTTATTAAGCTAAGTTATATACAGTGCCACAATATTATTTTCTTTAAATCCTGGTTTCAGGGTTTATGATTTGATCCCTTGTCTTACTGGTTTGTTTTATTGCTGTTTAGTTGCTTGCTTTTTAATTAAAGTACATTAGTTTTAAGGTGTTAACAATATGGAACCCATCTTGACAGATACAGAGGTTTATTTAAAATTTAATTTGCCTTTTTTTACCTTAATTTTTCATAATTTACCATTTCCTTGTAATATCCATAAAAATGACACCTTCTGGTTGAATAAGGGTACTCCAAGTTTTATGTAGATAATTCAAAATGGGGGGACTGGTTTACTTCTCAATCATGGAACTTCACTGGTAAAGTTACTGCATATCTCTAAACAGTCTTGAAGACTCACAGGCAAGAATTATGCTTTCTTGACTAAATTGCTTTGAGTGTTAGCAGGTAGTTTATATCTGAGGGATGTGCTTCAAGGCAGCAGAATAGTAGAATATAAATTATAATGAAACGTCTGACAGCCATGCATTAACTATTAAATGCATTTTTATATCCCTCAGCAAAATGAGAGTTTAAACTGTTTAAGTACTAAAACATAGTATTGTTGAACAATGATTTTTTGGGGGGATAGCTTTTTGTTCTGTCTTGTACAGAAAACAGTAATGGAATCATTCAGTTTGTGTTTCTTTCAGAACTGTGTAAATATGTCTGTAACATTAATGCTTCCCTTTATGACAACTATAAATTCAAAAAGGGAGATTCTATTTAGACAAAAAATTCTAATTAAAATGATTTTCCTTCACCCTAATCTATTTAGATTCATAATTGTTGAGAGAAACCTCACTGTAAAAAATGCCAACCTATGTAATGATGTAATAAATTATTTTGTACACAGTTGCTTATTGTATTTGTGTCTTGTTTCGTGCTTATCAAAGCATTTTTGCAAAATGTTTTTTCTTTGGGGGAATAAAAGCCTGAACATCTTAATATTTTAAAGTTTATTAAAAAATGTAATTCTCATAACCACATGCCAGATATATTCTGGTGCCACAGTGCCTTGGCTTCTTCTTAATGTTTTAATGATTTTAGATATAGCCAACTTTGTCACTAAATATCCTGGTAAATACATAATTCATCATGTTACTTTCAGCAAGATGCTGTTAGCATAAAAGGTGCCTGTTCCACATAATGAATGTGGAAATTGTGCTTTCAGCAGCAGCCTTTTTAAAAGTATTGCATTAGGATCATTTAGAGTTTCTGAGCATTATGGGATGGATACAGTTGAGATGCGAGGAGTTAGATTCAAGGTACAGAATAGAAGATGTGGAATGGAGGGTAACTGGTGACACTGAAGTTAGAAACATTCATTGCTATGTCAGTCAGTGTACAGAGGTTGTATCTGTTCTCCCTTCTACTCCCACCCCACTTTGAGTATACATGTCATATATCTGGGGCATGGCTAGGGATCTTTGTCAGGATAAGGAAGGCAGGATTGTGTCATGTCCTTCTACCCCCTACGGCCTTATCCCACCCCCAGCCTTGAGAGAGCCGCCTTTTGCTTCAGGAAGGCTAAAGGAGGGTAAGGTTAAGGCTAAAGGAGAAACAGCTGAGAACCAGGTACTTGAAGTCTCTGGTTTCAAGAGAAAAGTAAAAAAAAAAAAAAAAAATGTAAAAAATCAGTTGTCCTAGGTGATTTGGCCAAGTTTACCAGAATAAAGGCATAGATTCTGTGATAACAAGAATTTGGCTTTAGGTTTCTTATGATTTGTTTCTTGATGAACTGAATGAACGAGGCAAGAGCCTAGAGGATAAAGGACTACAATAGATTTAGTTATTAGCTAGAAGAGGGGTCAGCAAATTTTTTCTGTAAAGAGCTAGATAATAAATATCTTAGGCTTTGCAGGCCATATGCTCTCTGTCATAACTACTCACCTCTGCTGTTGTCGTGTGAGAGCAGCTGTAAACCAAAAAACCAAACCTGTTGCCATCGGGTCGATTCCGACTCATAGTGACCCTAGGGGACAGAGTAGGTAGGTAAACTGATAGGCGTGACTGTGTTCAATAAAACTGCTTACAAAAACAAGCCTTGGGATTGATTTGACTTTAGGCCAGGCTATAGCTTCTGGACTCAAGCTAGAAGGATATATGTAAGATATGAAATAATAATGAAGATACTTGTGAGTTTTTCTGCCTGAAGCCAGGGTAAATTATATATATATATATATTTGAATCCAAGCATTTATCACTTCTTTTCTAGGTTACTGAACTCTCCTTTTATTCAGCAAATTTATCCTAAAAACAATAGCTTCCATGCACTAGGTACTTTCCTGTATGTTAAGGATTACAGATATTTTGTTGAGTGCCTTTTATATTTCCTACAGGTTGGGGATAATACTGAAAAAACAGAAAATCACTGGGATCGCTCATATTAAGCAATGTTATGCTGGGGGAACATGATGAAGAAAGAAAGAATCATTTAGTCATTCAAACTGATTTATTGGCACCTGTTATGTTTAAGACACTGATCTAGTATGATGAATACAACAGTGTACAAAACAAAGTCCTTTATTCTCATGGAGTTTATATTCTAGTGTGTGTGGAGAGACAGAGAATATCAGGAGGTAATAATTGCTGTCAAGAAAAATAAAGATGAGTGTGAGTATAGAGAGTTATGTGGTTATAGTGACGTGTAAGAGTATCAAAGAAAAAGAATAAAAGCTTACAGGAAAAAAACAGATTATTCTCAAAGGAAAGAATCAGATTATCAAATTTCTCAGAAAGCATCACTGAATATAAGAAGACAATGGAATTATATTTTTAAGTATTGAAGAAAAAGAACTTTGAGCTTAGAATTTTATATACAGCCAAGTTAGCATTAAGATGTGACAGCACATTGAGTGTTCTCCAGCAATACAAAACCTCACAGAAAATACTTCTAAAGCAATATTAAAAGATACAAAATCTGAAAGACACTACAAGAGATACAGAAAGATGATCAAATATTTCCATTGTAACAATTAGAAATCAAGGCATTATCGTGATTGAAGTTTGAGGCATAGACTAAGCTGTGAGAAGGCTAACATGCCTCTTGCTGAGAGGAAGTTATATGGGAGAAAAATGTAGAACAAAATTCAAATTCTTAAAAAATGCCAGACCTACTGGGCCAATAGAGACTAGAGGAACCCCTGAGATTATTGCCCTAAGATACACATTGAATTTGGAACTGACGCTATTTCTGGAGGTCACCTTTCAGCCAAATAATAGATTGGCTTATAAAATAAACAGTATCACTGGTGAGTAATGTGCTCTCTTAAACAATCAACTACATGAAATCAAACGGTCAACATTTACCCAAAAGCAAAGAAGGCAAGGAAGAGAAGGGAAGCTAGATCAATGGAAACAGAACAAACAGAATGGAAATAATGAGAATGCTGACACATTGTGAAAATTATAACAAGTATCATGGTACAATTTGTATAAAAATTTTAAATGGAAACCTGATTTGCCGTGTAAACTTTTACCTAATAAAATATTTAAGGAAGAAGAGGAAGTTACAGATATTGAGAAGTCTAAGAAACAGTGTTTTAGTTATCTAGTGCTACTATAACAGGAATACCACAAGTAGATGGCTTTAACAAACAAGTTTATTCTCTCACAGTCTATTAGGCTAGAAGTCTGAATTCAGGGTGCCAGCTCCAAGGGAAGGCTTTCTCTCTCTGTCTGCTTTGGATAAAGGTCCTTGTCATCAATCTTCCCCTGGTCTAGGAGCTTCTTAGTGCAGTGACGCCCTGGTCCAAAGGACACGCCCTGCTCCTGACACTACTTGCTTGGTGGTATGAAGTCCCCTCCCCCACATCTTTCTGCTCCCTTCTCTTTTGTATCTCAGAAGAGATTGTCATGACACAACCTAATATTGTAGATGGAGTCCTGCCTCTTTAACATAACTGCCTCTAATCCTGCCTCATCAACAACATAGAGGTAGGATTTACAACACATAGGAAAATCACATCAGATGGCAAAATGGTTGACAATCACACAAAACTGGGAATCATGACCTAGCCAAGTTGACACACATTTTTGGGGGACATAGTTCAGTCCATAACATTGAGTAACCAAATATGAGTATGGTCATAAAAGCCACCATAGAACACAAATAGAATATAAAACTTTCAAATCAGAAGTAAACTCAGTTTTTCTAGTGGTAGGCAGGAAAATAGGGGGGATAATAAATGTAAATGGGTTAAGTTAAACAGATGATTCAGATGCTTAGGCTGGGTTAAAAATTACGTTCTCTACAAGAGACAAACTTGAAAACAGAAAAATTGAAATAAAAAGATGGATATGTCAGGCTAAGATGAACCAGAATAAAGCTGGGACAATCGTCCAAATGGAATTTAATTGAAAAGACATCATAATGACAGAGACATTATTATATATTCGTTAAAAAAATAGAAAAAGATACATCCACAGTTATATATACTTAACAGCTGCAAAACATATCAAGCAAAAACAGACAACTGAAGAAATAGAAATGTCAACAATTATAGTTGGAGATTTTAACACTTTCACCCTCAAAAACAGATCAAACAGACAAAATACAAGCAGCAGAGTTACTGAAAACAAATAGTGTAATTAATAAGCTTGAGCTAGTACATACACAGAGAATTCTACATAAAATAGAGTGATTGCAAAGTGTTTGCTGTTTTTAAATAGGATAGGCTAAGAAGACCTTCCTGATGAGGTGACATTTGAACAGATACCTCACTGGAGCCAGCTTTGCAGATCAGGTACTCAGAGGAAGAGCAGTCCAGAAGAACTAGCAAGGCCAAAGGTCTTCAGGTGAGAATTGTTAATAGATGACTGGGTGACAATGTGTCTCTTTAGGTTAAGTTCTTTAATATGTTGTAAAATAAACATTTGGAGAGTATAGATTTAAGGAACTCTTAAAGCTTAAGAGTATGAATTATAATGCACTTCAATGCCTACTGGCTACTGTCCTCTGAGAACATGGTTAATGAGATACGAGGTGTTTTTATATGTGAAATTGCTGACTTGTGGATAGTCTCATTAATAGGTTTGGTTCTTAACAGTTTGTTAAAGAAAATGGTTTTAATCACTAATGATGTGCCTTCTAGCCCTACCTCCTTTCCTCTGAAATGTGTACTTGTTAGTTCCAGAACACAAATTTCTGGTAATATTTTAGCTGCACTTTGTGACTTTGTACCTTTAGGATAACTGTTGTGTTAAGTCAACATTCTTTACCTCCAAATAGCTAACGCGGCTTTGTAGGCTCTGAGCTGGATTTTACATTGTATACGACTCGATCCCAGCTCCTGGGAACCTGGGAACCTACAGCCATATGATTTGTCCACCCCACAGCAGATTCAGGAGTGGCTGAAGCTCCTAACCACTGGAGACTAGGACTGCCTTTAAAAGGAATGCCACTTGAACCATTGCTGAATTCTGAAAGGGCTAGAGGTACTGCACTCCTAATCCACCAAGACTGATACCCCTGGCCAACCTGTGGCCAATCTGTTAGTCACCTACCACTTAAAGCATAAGCACCTCTGCCTTGCTGTCCTCTCGCATCCCCTCAGCCCTGTCTTGTTTTCTCTTCCTTAGCCCAGCCTCCCTCTATGCCTTTTCCTTTTTTTCCTTGCAATTTACCCTCTGGAAGTATTCCACTCCATGGTGGTTGTTGTTGGGTGCTATCGAGTCAGTTCGGACTCATAGCGACCCTATGTACAACAGAACGAAACACTGCCCGGTCCTGCCCCATCCTCATGATTGTTGTTACGCTTGAGCCCACTGTTGCAGCCACTCTATCAGTCTATCTCGCTGAAGATCTTCCTCTTTTTCGCTGACCCTCTACTTTACCAAGCATGATGTCCTTCTCCAGGGACTGGTCCCTCCTGATAACATGCCCAAAGTATGCTTCTAAGGAGCATGCTGGCCATACTTCTTCCAAGACAGATTTGTTTGTTCTTTTGGCAGTCCATGGTATATTCAATATTCTTTGCCAACACCATAATTCAAAGGCATCAATTCTTCTTCAGTCTTCCTTATTCATTGTTCAGCTTTCACATGCATATGAGGTGATTGAAAACACCATGGCTTGGGTCAGGCACTCTTTAGTCGTTAAAGTGACATCTTTGCTTTTTCACACTTTAAAGAGGTCTTTTGCAGCAGATTTGCCCAATGCAATGGTTATTACAGTTCCGAATATCTTCAATCTCTTCCCTCAACATTTTCCTTTGTCTTTTTACCTTAAATGAAAACCTTAACTGAGAATTCCACTCAGTATGTAGCCCTTTCAAGTGGTGGCTGTTTCTCTCTCACCATCTCT